TATATATGTATATATGTATATATATGTATATATATACATATATACATATATATACATATATATACATATATACATATATGTATATATATGTATATGTATATATATACATATATACATATATATACATATATATACATATATACATATATATACATATATATACATATATACATATATATACATATATATACATATATATACATATACATATACATATACATATATACATATACATATATATATATATGTATATACATATGTATATATATATGTATATGTATATACATATGTATATATATATGTATATGTATATATGTATATGTATATATATACATATACATATACATATACATATATATATATATATATGTATATGTATATATATATGATAAGGGTAAAAATGGCGATGTGACACGCCATGACGTCAACCATGCCTGAACAGCACACTGCCTGAGGAAGTCGACATTAATACCTAACTCAGGGTTGGTTCTTCACGCCACGCCAACCCCTTGTCAGACGCTATCAGCTTGCCTCCTGCAAGCAGCCACATTAGGTAACATCAAACTCATCTATAAATACCCCAGAGCTCTAAACGAAAGGGGACAAACTCACACACAACACTTGTATGGAGACATCTCTTCCTCCAAAACCCTCTCCAAGTCGCTAACTTGATCGTCGGAGGGGTCGGGCCAAGCTCCTGGCCCGACCTGTGTGCAGGTGCGAGACAGTGTCGCCTCTTCCCGGCGCTGCAGTGAAGCTACCTCCAGACCCGAACCGCCGACCTGCCGACCCGAACCGCCGACCCGAACCGTCGACCCGACCTCCCGACTCGAACCATCGTGCTCGGCCTACGGGAGACCCCGAGGGATGGAGCCCGAGATCCCCGACATCCGGACCCCCGAACCGAGCCGCGACGGTCCCGAGGCCATGGCTTAAACAGATGCCCCCCGCATCAATATATATATATATATATACTGTAGCTAAAGTATTATTTGTTGTGGTGACATTTTGTCAAATTGTAAAGAATATTAGAAATACCACGAGCATTCATAATATGAAAATACTATAAAATATCAAATAAATTTTCTAAAATAAAAAATAATATTTTTGTCAAAGGTTTTCTAAAAATTTTAACTTGTTTTGATTTTGTTTGACCTAGTTATATTTTTTTGAATTATATCTAAAAAATTATAAGTGGGTTACCAAAATTTCAACAAAGAAGCTCAAATGTTATAAAATATTATATGAAATCATTAAATTTTATATAAAATTTAAAAATTAGAGTATTCACACTATGAAAATATTTAAAAATCAAATAAATTATCTGAAATTAAAAAAAAAATATTCTTGTCCATCTAATAACAGTTCAAAGGTTTCAAGATAATTTTAATTTGTTTTGATCAGGTTTTGACATAATTACATTGCTTTTGAATTGTCCCAAAAATAATATAAGTGGGTCTAAATCATGAGTTTTTTTGGACAACACATTTGGAAACAAGCATGATATTTTATCAAATTATATCTAAAAAGTTATTCCTATTAAGTTTTAACAAAAATAAAAAATGAAGGACATGTGTCACTAGCTAATCTAATGGTGTCACCTAAGTTTATTCTATGGATGACACATAAACCTCTTTCATGCATGCTTGTCATATTATAATTTTTATATTAGCTAAATCTAATATATTAAAGGAGAAAAACTTATTTATGAGAAGAGAAGAAAAGAGGAATTGAAAATATCAAATAAACTTTATGAATTATAATTTTATCCATTTAAAGGTTTTCTAAAAGTTTTAACTTGTTTTGATAAGGTTTTGATCATATTACACTTTTTTTTAAATTTATTATTATTTATTATATTTATAATTTAAAATAATATTTATTTATATAAATATTATATTTATTAATATAAATTAAATTATTTAATATTATATATTTTTAATCGATCCAAGTTTTAGCTTCATTTATCTGTTATCAATCAGTGGTTTGGTTTAATACAATAAAATTGAAAGGAAAAGAAAGAGAGGATGTAGGTTTTGAAGTAAAATAAAAATAAAAAAAATAATTGAGGGTTTACTTTTTTTATTTTAATAATTCGAGACCCTACGAGGGATAATTTTGGTAAAAAGAGAGGAATTTTATTAAACTAAAAGACTTTTTCCTTTTTTTATTTATATTTTTTGTATTACAGCAAATGCCTGAAGAGGGGACATCGACAAACCAACGGTCAAAGACGATCGTCGTTGCCCATCACCAACTTCCCAGGTGACGACAGTGACTGTCATCGATGCAAGATCGGTGATCGCAATCTGTGGATGGCGACAGCTGCGTTCTGCTGTCAAGGGAGTGGGCGTGCGGGCCCCACCCCGCTGCGCCACGGCGACCGTGGGGCCCGTCGCCGGGGGAGCGCCAGCTGCGGTGGCTGTGCTCTCCACGCTGGTGTCTGCTCTCCTTTTGCCAGCAGGTTCCCTTCTCGCCTTCTTGTCTTCGTCGCCCTGTTTCCTATTCCTTCTACCTGTCGACCGAAGGAGGAACTTTTTTCTCTTTCGTTCCAGAAAACGGGGGAAAGCTGCGCTCCTCGGAGGTCCGGCGGTTCCACCACCACCAACTGGACCTGTTAAACGTTTGCTGCTTCTCTCTTAAAGTTCGTACCTCCGCTATAACTTCCCAGAGACTGAAAATAGAGGATCTTTTTAGCTCGGGAGTTCATT